CCCCCCCCCCCCCCTTGAGCAGCACTTTTCTTGCCCGGGATTTTATTGATGCAGGATCTCGGTGCCAGAATAGCTCACTGATCATCACCCTGTAGATCTGCTGCATCAACATGTTTCCACCGCAGGGCTTTCCACCTACTACAATAAACGTCTCCTTAACACGTAAACCCACAATGTTTAACAAATTACCTTCGAACCAATATTTACTTATAAAAGGACCCATTATATGCCTTTATGAGAGTCAGACTCTGACATAACTCCATTAATTTCCATCATAACACACCATATCCAATAAAGGTCTTAAAATAGCAACTGATCAAACACTATCAACTACAGGGTGCTAAATTAGGTCACCAAGTGATCTTCCACATACATTTTTATTATTTATACTATATGCTCATTAAAACTATCAAGGCATTCTGTTGGAATCTGATGTTCCTGTCCAGGTGCAGACGGAGGACTGTGGGACTGGTTTGCCCCCTCAGGGCAGCTGGATAATGGGGAAACTGAGATCACCTATCCAAAGCGACTGGTGCAGCAGATCAAGTCGGAGGAGGAAATGGCTCATGACTTCTTGGATACCAGGGTGAAGAACAGCAGTGGGGACAGCTCGGTAAGTCACCTCTCAGACCCACATGTCTGTCCCCCCAACACCTTTATTTGCTCGGCGAGTTCTCAGTCCGGCAGGATTAATCTGGCAACCAGGGAAACCCAAGAATGACAACTGGATCTCATTAAAGACAAAACCATCCCTGAATGTACTGGATTTTTCACTTTCTTCTCCAGTTTTTACCCTGTTGCTACATGACATGTAATGCAAAAACTATTAGGCAGGATGAAGACACACTGATATTTATGGGGGTCATTTAAAGATGTCCAAGAGATGGGATTTTTATCATTACTCAGCAATCGGCAGATGAAATACTGACAAATCAAACTTTTCTTTCTAATTCATGGAATTTGCTAAAACTCAGAAAACCTGCTGTTTTGTTTTTTTGTTTTTTTTGATAAACACATGAACCGAGTACATGCTCTTTTAAGTGCATAAAGGTATGTTTTTTTTATGCATTTCCTGTTAGTAAATATTCAGTTTCCTTTAAAAAATCATGATTTATCAATGTGCATTGATATCAGTAAAATGGTTGTGACTCATTTAAATGCTGACTTCTGTTCTGGATTGTGTAAACTATCCAAAACAGCCTGCTTTGTGGGCAGAATTGTAAATTTAAAATATGTATAGCCTATATATTTTTTTTCCAACATTTTGACATTTCTGCTGTCATCACCACATGACCCTTCATCAGATATTCGGACGTCATGTTCGTTACCATACTGAGCCCCTCCCAGGCTTTTTTATTATTCAGTGGTGTGTTCAAGTATGTCCCATTAAATATGAAACATGTCTGTGCGAGAAGTGCTGCATGGTGCAGGATGGTTCGAACACTCCCTGTCATTTATTTGAGTCATCTCTCCGAGTCTCTCTGTTTGACGAAGAATTACCAAGAATGTCAGCATCACACGACAGTGCTGCCGCACAATTAACAACATGTAGCGCACAAAAGAGATGCCAGTCACAAAGGTTTAAAAAGCCGAATTCCTACGTTGTCACCACATGCTGCCCTTTTCTTTTTTTGAAATATTGAAGACGCTTTAAATAAGGAGCAGGTAAATTTAGAAACAGCTGGGCTTGATGATGATCTAAACCCATTTCTCCTCCTCTGCAACGTCACGTTTTGCTCAAAATAGATGAATTGATCACTCCATTTACCGACACTTTCCACTTGCTAGACGGGCATCCAGAAAATAAACCGAACGACGATGCAGTAGTTTGGTTATCGCATTCTCTCCAAAACAGAAAACAATTCAGTGAGACATAAAATCAATGCTAAGATTGAGTAAAGTTGTTCCGGTGGCCAAACACAGGTGCATCTCAGTGAATCAGAATATAACTGATAAGGTGATTTATTTCAGTAAGTCGGTTCCAAAAGTTAAAAGCAGTATATTGATTTAATAGACACAGCAACATATTTCAATCTTTTTTTTTTTGGCAAAACATAAACAAGACTCAGAAAAAGTTTTCATTGTGAAGAGTGAGAAAATGCAATTTATTATTTAAAGTCAAACGTTTTCTCGACCAACAACAGAATCGCCAGTATTGTTTTGTTTTGTTTTTTTTAAATGCAGCCGATGGGGGAAACTTCTCATAGTGCAGACATCAATGCCACACAGCACCTTCTGTCATCCCACACTGCAGGATCTATTAGCTTGGTAAACACAGCTGTGTGGGATATCACCGTCGCCACTTGGGATTTCTGAATGAGCAGAGGGAGTTCAGAGGCGGCTCGCTCTTGGAAGTTTATGACGAAAATGTTTGGAGAAAGAGGCTACAGGCTGATTTCCTGCGTGCCATTCTGCATTGATGCCTTAATTCATGGAAAAGAAAACCTTTTAACTATGTTGACTTCATATACTGAACAGTACTTTGACATACTTTTAAATTTACTTTAAAAGTCTGATTATGTTCAATAGGAGAATATTTGGGTTTGCATGAACTTCTTTCAGTGAATTTCCATTTTGCAAAAAAAAAAATTAAAACTTAAATGAACTTATCAATGATTTTCTGCTTGACTGAGCTGCATCTGTGTAAGACCGAGTTTATATATTGAATAATATTAATATTTATTGATGGAACATATTTAGTAAACCTACATTTATTTCCTTCCCTTGGTAAAATTGTTTGATTTTACTTTATTTTTTTTATTAATTCAAATGGAACTTTGCAAAAAATGATAAAATCACAGTTTTTATTAAAAAAAAGTGATCTCTCAGTGGAAATCCAATTGCATGCGGACAAACCAACGATGGTAAATTAACTCGGATGTAATTCATCGCACAGAATCAGTAATTCTCTAAACGCCAAATTCAACATAGGTTATCTGGATAAGGAAGCCAATAAATTGCATGAAATCTTCTTTTAAGCTAAATTTACTACTCTTATAGTGCAAAAGGCAATGAGTGACAGGGAAGCCAACTTTATAGGGAGGTGAAAGGAAAGTCACACAAACTAATTCAGAAGTTCAAAATTGCAAAAAAATTTTTTTCCCCCCATCAATTTTTTTTCATTATTTATTTATTCAATTATAGCACTTTTACCAGAAGATCCAAGTTGAAACATGAAACTAATCATTTTCAACCTTCAGAGCGGCCTAAACATTTTTTAACTTAAGTCCTCATTTCGCTTTGTTTGTCAAGTTGCAGTTGTCTTAAACTCTTCAATTGACTCCGGTCAATTGCTGTCTTCTAGAAACAAGAGATGAAGATGAAGAATTTTATTTTTTTTTTAGTATCGCTGAGCATCAACTAGCCCAATTCCACATAAACATGACTTTCTGAGCTGAAATTGAAAGTTCTGCAAACGCCAAACCAGAGCCGAGAACTAAATTTGATGCAAAACTGTTGAGTCGTGTCATCACTCTCTTAGAGATTTTGAGACCTTCTGCAGGGTTCAGTTGGCAAATACACTTAATGCTAAAATTGAGTCACAACAGACTTTTTAAAATCTACATGTATACCCCTATTATCTTTATTTTCAGCTGAAATGTACAGGATATGTGTCACATTAAAAGTGGAAAAGCTTTCAAGTGTATCACGTTTTCATTTTTTGAAAACAAAGGAAGCATTTTAACTCGGCTGTGCAAACATCTGAGAGTAGATGAGATGGTTGCCAGCGTGCGAGCGTTTTGACACAATCCAGTGCTGACAAAATAATTACTCGAGAGTGATCATTCGTTTTAAAACCACGAATGATGTGACGCTGCAGCGATCTGGCAGGAAAACACACTTTTTAAACATCTACAACTTTATCTGCTTGTAAAGTTTGTGTTTCATCAATAAAAGCTCTGGGACGGCTTCCAAAAAGGGCCTGAGTGATGAAACTGTCCTGTTAGACAGCTAAAGCACTGCCACACATTCACATTCTGTACTGTAGCAATGACAGAGCGTGTGCAGTTACTTCAGCCTGTCCAAGACAGTGGTGAGAAATATGTTGTCTGTGCTCGCTGGAGGGAATAATTTGTGGACAGTGATGCATTTTATTGAAAAGCCCAATGATTCACTGGGACCCTGTTCCTCCAGACACAAATCAAAGCCAGGCTGGCACAGTCGGAGCTGCCTAGTGTGTAGTAGATCTCTCCCCGTCTTTTTCCGGCCCTACTGTCTCCTCACCTCCACCATGCTGGCAGCTGTCCATTGGGGACATCGGCACAGCTTGACTGATTATAGACAATCCACGTCTAGTTCTGTCCTCGTCCACCTACTTCCCTTCTGTGACTGTCAAGTCCCCCTCTATCATTCCTCTCACAATGCTCTGTCACACATCGAACAGGCACAGCTCTGTCAATCAAAAGGGCCTTTATCGGTCAACTTAATAAATCAGTTGGGATGTTTTCAAGGTGTATCGATCCTTGCTGAATTATTCATGAGTTTATGGGGAATCAGCTTAGCTCCAGCTAAGTGGTAAATGTAATAACTGTTTCACTGCAGCAGTTAATGTGAGTTACATTTTATTCCGTCTGCAGCCCGTCCACCTGGCTCTGAGCTGCTTTCAAGTCGAAGCCTTCGGACGCACCTTCACTCTTGACCTGGAACTAAACCAGTTAGTACCATCAGATCTGTGTGTGTGTGTGTGTGCGTGTGTGTGCGTGTGTGTGTGTGTGTGTGTCTGTGTGTGTTTTCCCATCCTTGCTCGTATCAATGAGCACACCTAATCTTCTGCAGCTGATCTCATTAGCATTTTCCCCGCTCATACGCAAATGCACTTAGCGCCTCTATTATGCTACACGACAAGATGGGGAATACCGACGCTGCACTCTCACAGGCACACACACGTTTTAATAGCAAAGCATGTTAATAGGTCTGGTAATTCTATGTGGAATACATCTGAGGGGAGAACCTTTGGTGTGAGATATCCCAGAATACATTTCCTCTGATCTTGGCACAGATATTGATGGTTATCTCTCCTCTTCTTTCAGTCACCTGCTGTCTTCAGATTATGTGGAGAGGCACTTTAACTACAATGGCAAACCACTTCAGTCTGTGGTAAGAGTTTCTCTCTCTCTCTCTTTTTTTGTTTTTTTTACATCTGCACTAGGGGGCAATATTTGCTGATGCCAATGTTGATGGGGGACTTGTTTTATTTAGTGGTTTGAAGAGGTGACCAGAGTTTGCAGTGCAGCGTTTTAGACTGTTCTTCATAGTCGTTCTTCCTGGATATCAGAGTTTGAAGAAACACAACTTGTCCAGAGCAGATCATTTAACATGCTGATCCTTTCACATTTTAAAACGATTAACTTTTGTTTTTATTGCGATTTTAAGTGGCGGTCCAACACAAATTAGTGTCCAGTTTCAAAGTGGAGTTGTATATAAAGGAGAATCTGAAATCTTTTATTGTCATGCAGTGGAGAAATGTGGGCGTGTCATCCAGGCTCACACATCACTAAAATCATCGAAAATGTCATTAGGCTGAAAGCTGTAAGAAGAAAAAAGAAAACATAAGACACAAAATTTTAAATGACTTTTTAGAAAAGTAGAATAAAACCCAGGATTAATATTGTGTGTGTGTAAAAAAAATAATAATAATAATAATCATGCCCAGATTAGTTAAATTAAAAGTACAGTGTACTCAGGTGACACTGATAAAAGTGTCACCACCATAAACAGTTGCTAATAAAACTGTTGCTACCAACGGCGTCACAACCAGTTATTAGATTTAAGTTCAAACCAGTGTTTCACATCCGGCCAGGCTGTGTGTTTTTTTTTTGTTTTTTTTTTTAAAAGATGATTTATTAATTTGATTAACATGAATATTTGTTCACACTAACATGCTCAAGTTGAATTTTCCAGTCTCATTGCTTGTTGCTGTGGGGGTCAGGGGTGAAATAGATGCATATTTGTGTATTTATCTTAAATTTAGAAGCAGAGATGCTTTTTGTTTGCATTCCTCTTTTAAGGCCAGTTTTTAGATTCATGGTTTGGCGGTTTGATCTCATCCTGGTGGTTTGTCTATTTATAGAAAGTGCATTATGTGCTTTCTGCTCTAAAGTAGGCTGCCGTGCAGACACTGATCAGGAGTGTTACTGGTGTGCACATATGAGAGATTACCTGGCAGTTGGCCGAGGCCTTTCTAAAATGCTAAAGGAAAAAAAAAAAAAAAAAAGTAGTGTCACAAACCCACACAGACTCGCCAAGATAGCAGCGTGTGACTGAATAACAAACTTTACCATAACATTGGCACTGGGATAAACTTAAGCATTATAAGTAGTCTGATCACCATGTGGGATGGTTGTGATTTTTATACTTTTTTTTTTCTACAAATGTAACACTTACTGCCCCTCAAGCGCCCACCTACCCATCTACCCAGCCAGCACTACATGTCCCCACCCACAGTCGCTCCAAACTCTCCTTCAGTCCCCCTGACCAATCACGGGCTTGTTTCCACAGCAACCGGTTAGCTCAGCAGCATCATTAAGTTCTTGGCAGCCAAGAGAATGAAAGAAGACCAGGAGGGAGGGATGAGCAGAGCTATAGCAAGAGGAGGAGGAGGAGGAGAAAGGAGAAAGGAATAAGGAGTGAAATGCCAGTTAAAACAAAGGCATGATGTGCTTTGGCATTATGGCCATGTACGTGTGTTTGTAGGCAGGCGGGAGGGAGAGGGAGGCTGGCAGTGGAGACCTGCAGTCTGACCAGATTGTCACTCAGCTGGATGTAGGCCTCACGTGTCTGCGCTGCCGCGGCTGGACATGCCAGGCGTGCTGCTTTCAGGGCACGCCGATCTGTGCCGTCGTTTCGGCCCGGGACCCGTCCCGCTGAGCTCGGTTTGACTCAGGTGAAGCCACATTTCTCTCCCGTAACTAGTGGCACGTCCCCCCTGCGGCTGCAGCCTTGCAAGGAAGCGCGCGCAGATAGTAGTGTCCTTGAATTTTAGCCTGCTTAGTCCACACTTGATTCTCAAATCAAAACAGTGCTGGCAACATGAGTGTTGATTTATTGGAGAGATCCTTGAGCGTGCCCTACCGCCACCTCCAGCCTTATTGTGAATGAAGAACAGGAGAGTGGAGTAAACTCAAGTAGGTCACCAACTATGCTGTAACTGATGGTGAGGGAAGAGGAAGAGTGGTGGCATCTAATGAAGTAGAAAAGCAGCTATATAAAGCCTGGGGTCTTCTATGAAGTATTTTTTTGTTTTGTTTTCCTTGCAGGGAGGAGAGCACTGCTACTACCAAGGAAGACTAAGAGGTTTACCAGAGTCCTGGGCAGCTGTCTCCACTTGTCACGGCCTCTGGTGAGAAACCAAACCATTATTTCCTTTTTCCAAATCCTGCTTACCTTTCTTTTCTTGCTTATGTTTTTATTTTCTGTCCTGCATCCACTAATTTATCTTTCTGTTGCTTTGCAGTGGGATGTTCTCTGACGGTTTCTACTCTTATGGAATTGAGCCTATTCACAATGCGAGCCGGAAGGTAAACTTTCACTTAAATGCACAGCGTGGAAAGCTGAAAAGGGTTCAATTACGAAAACGTCCAAAAGTTCTCAGTTTCCCCACAAAATAACATTGGAAGAGAGTTGTTTTACTAAAACGAAATTGAATGCATCAATATAGCAACGTATTGTTTTTATCTGTTGGTCAGATTTTTTTTTTAACCTGCTTTAGCATTTATAGCACCATTTTATTTTTTCCAAGTTATTTTATTATTTGATTTTTTTTTTGTTTTGTTTTGTTTTTAGTTAGCTCCTAATACCTCATCCTTGCTGGTTAGCAAGGGTGAGCTTTGGAAACCATTTTGTTAGAGAGCCTATGCTAAAATATGTAATGAATTGTGGGTTTTACCAACAATTTAGGTAAAATTTAAAAAATCTTGATGATGTAAATAGAAGAGGCATTTAACTTGATATGGAGCAGACCTTCCTGTTTGGTGGAGTTTGGTTGAATACCTGACATTTTTCAGAGAAATGTATTTTTTCTTAAGACATTTAACTCTGAACAAGTATAGAGGGACAACGACTCCTAAGGTAACCACTGTTGTGTCTGTTTTCTACTTTAGGAAGGAGCTCACTTAATTCGCAGGATGCCCGATATCAGACTTTCCCAGCACTGCCCAGGTGAGCAGTCTTAAATCAGACCTTTCAGACTCCCACTTAAAGCATATCAAGACTGAATAAATGTGGTTTAGATACAGAAATATTGGCAGCTCTGGTAAAGATGTGTAAAAAGACTCAAACCTTTAAGTTGAACACATTAATCCAATTTATTATTATTTTTTTACACAAATCCTCTTTGCCAGTAGGACAACACTCACTTTGCTTATTTCACAATGTTTGAGCGTACAAAGAAAATAATCTCTACATCATTTCTCATGTTCTTCACAATTAACTGAACAAAAATGCGAAGGATTTTACAAACTAAAAGCAAAAAGCCTGACAATAATCTAAGAAAATAAATTCAAATGTAAAAGAAATAGAACGTAAGAATTAACCGAGTTACTCAACACAAATAAATGTGCTTGTACGGCAACACCATTCGAGCAATAATTCATATAAGATACAAACACAAAAGGAACAAAAACCCAAAGGGGGAAAAGTGTGTCCATGTCGCCCCCAATGATAAATTTTCGTACCTGCAGCTCTGAATATGTGCTTTCAGAGTGTACAGAGGACAGTGAGCAGGACAGCAGTGAAAGTGTTGAAGACGACGGTAGACCAGAGCAAACGGAGGACCGGCAAGTGACCGCGGGGCTGAGAAGATCCAAGAGGTTCGTCCGCAGGCCCTCTGTTCAGACTGAGACCAAATACATTGAGCTCATGGTGGTAAACGACTACGATCTGGTGAGTTCAGGATGTAATTCTAGCACTCCGCATCAGCTGTCGCATTTTGTTTTGTTTTTTTTCCCCCCCGTTTGTTGTCTTTCTCCACTAATAGCAGGAGAAAGCATATTTAAGGGTGTTTGGTCATTAGTGCAGCTGTACCCAAATCAAGCAGTTTGCTGTTGTTTGTTTGATGAATGTAATGCATGCCAATCCATTTGTAATTTAAAAAAGTCCTAAAAGGGACTAGGATTGTGAAAATAGAAGAAAAAAAACAGTAAATCAAGACTGCTTGTATTTATGGAAATGAACTTGGATTTACTTTTTTTGTCAGTAAAGATCCGTACCATTGTGTGCTGGAGTGCATGAGAGATCCATTTCCTAAGCCATCTGTGGACCTTTTCTCTCTCCTCAGTTTGTGCAGCTGCGTCGCTCGAGCAGCCAAACCAAAAACTTTGCCAAAGCTGTAGTCAACACAGCAGACACGGTGAGGAACCGTAAATCCTCCTACACCCTAACGCCACAAACACCACCTGTCGGGATGCATGTTCTCATTTGGGAAAGGTCCACGTCTCCGCAGTGGCGGTAACAAAAGTCGATCTCTGTCGTCAGATCTTTCAGGAGCAGCTGAACACCAGGATTGTCTTGGTGGCCATGGAGACCTGGACCTCGGAAAACCTGATGCCGGTCGTGGAGGACCCGCTACTCACGCTGCAGAACTTCATGAAGTACAGGAAGGACAGCGTCAGGGAGCAGAGCGACGTTGTCCATCTTTTCTCGTACGAGGACAAGAATCTCGACTCTAGATCCCAGTGGAGGTTTGATTTTAAACAATGCGTTTTCTGTGCTTTCCAGAGGGCGTACATTTCACAGTAGCCGCAGTGGGACGGCCTACACAGGAGGGGTGTGTTCTCCAACGAAAGGAGGAGGAATTAACGAGGTACATTTGGCATTAAGCTCATAATTTAGAAAACGCCGATTATAACACTGTAGTCGTATTTGTTTTGAATCCTTTAAAATTGTTCAAACTGTGATGGTTGTTACCTGTGGAACAACGCGTCATGGTCAGTTTTTCTATTTCTTTGCTATTTTGTTTCAAATAATTATTACATTTTAGTAAGTCTGTTTCTAACTTTCAGTATGGGAGTGTCGGGGCGATGGCCATCACTCTGTGTCAGAGTCTTGGCCAGAACATCGGGATGAGATGGAACAACGCAAGAGCCTCGGCAGGTAAGACAACTTACCACACAGAGGTTCGACATGATTTCACCCCCTTACCATTTCATATCTCCAGTTCATACTCGTCACTATTTCATCCCAAGCTGTTGCACTCGCACTTATATCCACAAACAATTTCATACATATCAATTTTATCATTACTTATGAGTTTCTTTATGTTGTGGATTTATGGAGATGCATACATAAAATTGGTCAAATCTTATTTCTATTATAGCGGACATCCAGGAATGCGAAGAACTGATCATACTGAAACATCGGTTCTTTTGCGTGACTTTATTTTCCCATTCTTCCATCTGAATCCAAATTGCTGAGAACTCTGAAAACAGATGGAATTGTGACCCAAATAATGTGCAGGAACCCAAAATAGCAGGCCAGGCTTTTTTTTTTTTTGACAGTTTCTAAAAAGTTTCTGTTTTGTAATATTTCCTTTCATTTTCTGTGGTGTTTAAAAATAGAAGTTATTCTTTGTGTTTTATGTTGTGTTTTTTTTTTTTTCCTTCTTCTTCTTTTTCAGGTGACTGCAGATGCCCAGATGCCTGGGTGGGCTGCATAATGGAAGACACCGGGTAAAAAATGGCTGTTTCTACCCTATTTGCTTAAACAAGTTAACGCCTTCATGAGATTTAAAGTTTCTTATTTGAAGCCTACATAGATTTTTCCCTTAACAGGAGACGCCAGATTGCTGTGTAGATTGTTACAAAATGTGAACTAAAAGTATTTACTACATGAGTGAATTGGACTGGGCTCCGCCGGACAGATGGGACAATAAAGATGTGAATTATTTGAGATATATCTTACTGCAGATGGGAACATTTGTGTCAGATTGCAAAGTGATGGCACACACACACACACACACACACCCACGGTTGATCTGGCATTCCTGACTGGCCAAAAAGCATTGCACTGTTTGTGTTTTAGTGTATGTCTTGGTCTTCATGCGTCTGCGTGTGCTTGTGTGTGTGATCACAGATTTTATCTGCCCAGAAAGTTTTCTCGCTGTAGTGTTGACGAGTACATCCAGTTCTTGCTCCAGGGCGGTGGGAGCTGCCTCTTCAACAAGCCGAATAAGGTGAGGATGATGAGGAGTGTGATGTCCGTCTCTGAATAGGTTCATCTTATAGATTTTATTCGTTTGTACACCTTTCCCCATTTATCTCTATATTTCTACACAGTATTATCTTATAAATGTATATTTTTTTATTATTTTTTTAGCTGTTGGACCCTCCAGAGTGTGGAAACGGCTTTGTGGAGCCAGGAGAAGAGTGTGACTGTGGATCCCAGGTGGTGAGTAGCCAACTTTCCTTCACATTAAGCTTTATATTTCGACCTGAGATGATGTAGAGTTTAGTGGAACAGATTTTTATTTATTTTTTTCTCCTGTCTGTGGCTGTAGGAGTGTGCCCGCAGCGGAGGAGCCTGTTGTAAAAAGTGTACTCTTACCCATGATGCCATGTGCAGCAATGGACTCTGCTGCAGTGGCTGTAAAGTAAGTTGAACAAGAATCAAAGTTGCAGATCTATAAATTATGAAGATGAGTATCATTAATTTATACATTAGGCACAAGCAAAAACAAGAAATAGTTTCACCTGCATATGTTTGCCTTTTGCCACATTTTTCTGATAAATTTGCTACAAAAACCTGATGATCATGTTGAATTTGTTCAACTCTACTTGGACTTTAACTTAATCCTTGCTTGTTGGTCAAATTAAGCTAATATTAAGCTTTTCTGCAACAATAGAACACTCTAAGGCTGCTTGATGCAAAACGAAGTACACATTTTTGGAAATGCTTCTTTTTCCAAGCCTTGTTTTACGCATGTTGAGTGTAACACATGAATCCACATCTGTTTATGCATGACCTGGTAGGCACGTACCACATACATTTCAAACAAATAAATATTCATTTTCATCTCTCTCCAATCCACAATTATGCGCTTAAGTTGAAATACAGGTAGAAATCCATGCCACTTATCGCTTTTCCTTCCACAATGCTGAAGAAAGGGTTAATTCTTTATCAAAAGAAACTCTACTATGCCACCTAGTGGTAGATGTGAGAAAAGAAAAAAATAAAACTCTTGTGGCTTCCAGTTTAATTTTTACCCAAGCATTGGTGGAAATTTAATCAGTCACATACACAAAATCAGGTGAAGATTGTTGCTAAACCTAAGCATAGTGAAATTTGAATGAGCAAATAATCCTGTCTTTATATTATTTCATCCATTTGATGCTATATAAATAGATTTCCTCCTTTTACGTCAACCTTTAAACTTTAAACCGCCAGTATGACACCTATATGAGGTTTTCAACAACTTTAAGTCTGTCTCACTCTGCCTCCTCCCAGTATGAGCTGAGAGGTGTTGCGTGTCGAGAGGCCGTGAACGACTGTGATATTCCCGAAACCTGCACAGGAGACTCCAGCCAGGTGAAACTTCCTGTGGAGAGCGCTGGATGAAACTGACGCATGTTGCGTGAACGTTTATTTACGGGGTTTTGTTCTTTGGCAGTGCCCTCATAACGTCCACAAGCTGGATGGTTACATGTGTGACAACAGCCAGGTAAGATCTGGATTATTATATCTTCCAACTCGACTGCTGGGGCTTTATGCTTTACCTGCACTGTCTCACCTTCATAGGGACGCTGCTATGGTGGACGCTGCAGGACTCGTGATGGACAGTGCAAAGGACTCTGGGGCTATAGTGTGTATACAAACAGACAAAAACAATTACCTCATCCTGTGACATAAACATGTGGTTTACATTGACCGCTCCATTTTTTAATCCTTGATCAGATTCAGCAGACAGGTTCTGTTATGAGAAGCTGAACGCTGAAGGGACAGAGAAGGGGAACTGCGGTCGGGGGGCTGAAGGGAAAGGCTGGCTGCAGTGCAACAAGCCGTGAGTAAAACAAGCTGCAGAGTTCTGAGCTGGATCCCCCCAAAACTACAGCCTGCAGTTTATAACTAAAGCACTTATTTCTCTCACCTCAGGGATGTATTATGTGGCTTCCTTTTCTGTGCAAACGTCACAACAAAGCCAAAATTTGGCGATCTGCAGGGTGAGGTGACCAGCTTTACGCTCTACCATCAGAACAAGTACCTGGACTGCAGGTAAGCTGCTGCAGCACGTCTGCAGCATTTAACAGTGCAAAAAAAAAAAAAAAAAAAAAAAAAAAAAAATGTTACCTTTTAATTAAAGAATTCAATTGAACCTCTGCCACCT